TCTATCTATAAAAAAGGAATTCATTTTTCTGCACATTTCCACCAATGAAAGTGATGCATTTGATTACATTGATGTAAAGCTCAAACAAGTCAGATCAAATGTACTCTTGCTTTGAATATTTAAAAGTCTTTGTGTCTACACTTCATGCTATGAACCTCTGACTGATACAATAGTCTTTACTACTTAAAATATGAAGGTATTGCCTCACTGAAAGTAAGATATGGAAAGAACATTAAAATGAACAAATACACAAATTAAAATGCATCAGAGTAGCCTGCAAAATCATTAATGTGTGTGTGATTGTTTACAAAAACATGCTTGGTTATTAGAATGCTATTTCTAATAAATTAAGTACAACTTGTGATACCAGGCTGTCTCATCATACAAATTCTGATTGTGTGATTCAAAAACCACAGAGTATTTTGCATGTACTGACAATTTTATCATTGTTCATTGAAGTTAAAAAGTAGTGAGACCACACATATCACTGTGACCTTAGGTCAATGCTGAAAAACTCTACTACCCTATTCCCAACTTCCCTTTATTTTCATTTTCTGAGAGTATGCCTGTCTCTTAAGTGATAAAAATACCTCGAACATTGATGCATTCTTACCAGAACATGGATGGTCACCTGAGCGGTAGCACTTCTCTGTCTGAGAGGGTCAGGGAGAGCATCATTGGCCACATCTGTGATTCTCACAGCTATCTTGTACTGAGAAACTGCTTCTCTGTCCAGGGAATTCAACAGCTTTATCATTCCTAACACAAAACAGTGGAAAGTTATTGTCTTCAAACAGTCAATTGTCATATTATAATCTACAGAAATGAAGTCTTTGTTACAGTAGCAAATATAATTTACATGATATAATAAACTTTTGTTACATTTTTGTATCATTGTTTGTACAGTTAAATCATCCCAGATGCTAATTCATGCATCAGTCACCTACTGTACATTCTCAGGCATTTGGAAGAACATGTGTGCAAAGGCTTTCTGAACTTCAGTATATCAAAGATCAAAGCCTCACTGCTCCTCCTGTGGTTGCTAAGAATTATGGATGTAGCTAACAAAGCAAGGTGAATGCTATAGAGCTCAAGGGAAGGCTTCTGATGAAAAGTTTTCATTCCCATTGTTTCCAAAAATGCTACGTTCAAAATTAGATATTTATTTTTCATTTTAATTTTTGAGAATTTCATATATGAGTACACTGTGTTAGCATAATTTAACTATTCCCCCTCTAACTCCTTCCATATCCTTTTTGAGCTTATAACCTCTTCTTTTATACCTATCATTGTTGCACATAAATACATGCATATATATTATATTTATACAGACATATATATTATATACATAATGTACTGAATCCAATTAGGGTTACCTGCATGTATATGTTTTTAAAGTTGATCACTTAGGATTGGGAAACTGTAGCTGGAGTTTTCTCCAGTCCTGCCTGGCCGATGGTCAGGACAAATCTCTCTCACTCGCCAGTCCTGCAGCCACTTAGACCCAACCGAGTAAACACGCAGAGACTTATATTGTTTATAAACTGTATGGCCACAGCAGGCTTCTTGTTATCTAGTTCTTATATATTAAATTAACCCATATCTATTAGTCTATATGTTGTCACATGACTCATGGCTTACTGGTACCTTACATCTTGCTTTTCATGGCGGAAGCTAGCAGCATCTCCCTCACTCAGTCTTTTACTTTCCAGAATTCCACTCTCTCCTTGTCCTGACCATACTTTCTGCCTGGCTACTGGCCAATCAGTCTTTTATTTATTAACCAATCAGAGCAACACATTTAACATACAGAATGTCCCACAGCAGGAAACCTATCAGGGGCTCAACCCTGGAGAAAGTCAATTCTCCCTTTTATTATTAACTAATATCAGTGCTTTTACATTACCTGTATCTGATTCAATGTAAAATGTGGGTGGTATTCCAAAGTTGCCTCCAACAAGGGCATATTGTACATTGTTAAATGGCCAGTCTCCATCTGTATACATAATTTTTCCAACTAGTGTATCAACTGGACTGTTTTCAAATATACTGAAGGTAAATGCCATCATAGTCCCAAGAGGATTAAATTCATTTATACGGATCACCCTTAATATGATTCTAATGATGGCTACGGAGAAATAAATTCATGAGTGTAGATAGAGCCATGATATGTCTTCTTCAACAATTCTTATTTTTTCCTTTATAACAATCACATTCTACATTTTATAAGCATATGCTTTATAAATATGTTTATGTTGATATTCTATTAGTTAATTATTTACTTCTGGTTATAGATTGCTCAAAACTAAGTTTAGCATAAAAATGCTTTATTGACAAATTTTTAATATTATTCAATGTAGAATAAACTGGTTCCTTGTTCAATATTTTAAACATGAAAATATTATAGAAAGATTATATTCAACAGTTTTCAAGTGACTGCAAAGTTCTGTATTCCGTGTTTAAAAAGCATTATTTCAACTGATTTTTAGTTCTATGTTGGCTTTCAGTTTTTAAATAGTAGTATATATGGGCTAAAAAGGTAATTTAATTATAACTATTTAATGCATTATTATAACTTATAATTGTAACTTTTTTTACTATAACAAAATCTAAGAATGAATGTTTAAAATACTGTGTGTCTTACTTAATTAAAACTATATTAAGATACTGAAGTTATGACTTCTTACTTGAGAGCACAGGAATTCCTTCATCAGAGACTCTTATAAACAATATATATTTAAAGTCCATTCCTGAAAAAATGGGATTATCATAATCTAGATGCATAGGTCCAATCTGTAAATGAAAAATAATACATCATTAGTTTTGTTTGAATTACATGCCAAGTTTATCAATTATGGGTCCAAAGTGAAGACAGTAAACCAGTAAATAAAATTGTTACTTTACAATACTACTGTCCAGTTGAATATCCTAAGAACCACAAGAACGAGTCATGTATGTAATTTTAGCTTACAAAATAACGACACTAAAAATTAAAAACATGTAATTAATTTTAATAAAATTATTTTTTATTTTATTCAGGCAATACTTTATTTTAGACAAATACTTTATTCAGGCAAACATATTTTAAGTGATAGTATTTCAAAAAGTAACAAATGGAAAATACTGGAGGTGCATACATTTATTTCTTAATAAGAATCTCATTGAGGTCATCTCTTACTTCACAGTTGCAGTGCAACCCAGAAAAGTTGTATTGCAGGTTTTCAAGGGTGTGCTTAGTCACTGGCTTCCACGGGACAGTTTGAACTCTTCCTGGCTAGCTACCTCTATGAACCAGCACAGTGGCGTGCGCCCAGTCCTTCATCAGCCATAGGATCATGAGAGAAAATGGCTACTTTTCTGCAGCACACCATGGTGATGCCGTATGATGATCCACAAGTTACAGAAAAATGGATTTGCAACTTATGAAATGTTCAGTTTAAGAATTGTCTAATTGGAACATATCGATATTAAGTTGAGGGACATCTGAAATTACTGTTTTGTATTTAAGATATTTGCAATGACATTATAATAAACTTATTTCCCTTTTTACAAAACTGAATTAAATCTGGATTAGAATTAATGAGAGTAATCTCCCAAAAACAAAACTAAACTGCAAGCTTCAAAATCAGGCTACTATAAGATGTGAGGTCACCTGTACTAAGAGTCTAAGTGCCTCATACTTTTGTTCTTTAGTTTTACTCTCCTAGGATGGATGTATAGGGCAGACATGATGTCATCAGGATGTTTAATAGCATTAAATACACAAGTAAAGCAATCTAAGAGTCTTTTGTCCACATCTCTTGCATAATGATACAATCCTTACAGTGCTCACAGCCTAGATTTCATCTGAGACATTCCAAGAAATGTAAGGAAAGCACATGATTGCTGCTCGCTTCTCCAGCTTACCTGAGGTCTTTTCCATGCCATAGCTGTCTGTGTCCATGTTAGCTATTTTTTCTAAAAGTCAACATTCACTATTCAGGGAAATTATGTGTAACAATCAGATGATTAGTTAGCACAGAAATATGTTGCTTTTTAAAGATTCTATAATTTTTTTCCAAGACTTACAGCAATGAAAGACCATGGACATTAACCAACTAGAGAGGTAGTTTCTTTAGGAATTAATAAAAATATTAGGTGGTTTCTGAACTTAGACCACTGTTAAAATTCGATAGTCTGCCTTCTAAGTAGATAAAGAGAGGTGAAATAAATATTGGCAATGGCACTAACATCAATAACTCAGTTAGTTCATGATGGTAGTGCTCCACTAAAATTCCTGTCTATGCTAACCCTATTTGTGTTTGATCATATAAAAAGTAGAAATAAAAATGAATGTTGAAAGGAATTACAGATACTGTAAGAAAATAACCAAGGCTGGAACAAACATTATAGGAATTCTGTGCATGACAGCAATAACGTTGAAGGCCATTGTAGAATTATGATTCTCAGATTCAAGGCTTGAGATTTTGATATTCTAAATGACAAGAAGTAAAATAGAAATTTTATTTTCCTCCAAAGTACAAAATCAATTTCTTTACATTTTGAACAATGTAAAATTGAAAGACCAATTGTTTCCTGTGCCAATGTGCCCAAGGCTCTTTCCCACTTTCTCTTCTATCAGGTTCAGTGTTTTATTTATAAATTTATTTATAAATTTATATTTATAAATCTATTCAGATTTATGTTGAGCTCTCTGATCCACCTGGATTTGAGTTTTGTGCAGGAGGATTGATATGGATCTATTTACATTCTTTACATGATGACCTCCAGTTAGACCAGAACCATTTGTTGAAGATGCTTTCTTTTATTCCATTGTATAATTTTGGTTTCTTTGTTGAAAATCAGGTGTCCATAGATGTGTGGATTTATGTCTGGGTCTTTGATTTGATTCCATTGATCCACCTGTGTGTTTTTATACCAAGACCGTGTGGTTTTTATTTCTAAACAACTTTCTGAACAGGACACCAATAGTACAGGCACTAAAATCCACAATTAAAGAATGGGACATCATGAAACTAAAAGTTTCTGTAAAGCAAAGGACACCATCAATAGAACAAAATGGCAGCCTACCAAATGGGAAAAGATCTTCACCAACCTCACATTTGACAGAGGGCTGATTTCCAATATATAAAGAACTCAAGAAACCAGATATTAACAAACCAAATAATCCAATTAAAAATGGGGTACAGATCTAAACAGAGAATTTCCAAGAGAAGAATGTCAAATGACTGAGAACACTTAAGGAGATGTTCAACATCTTTAGCCCTCAAGGAAATGCAAAAATCAAAATGACTCTGAAATCTATCTTAGTCCAGTCTTAATGGCTAAGATCAAAAACACAAGCAACAACTCATGCTGGAGAGGATGTGGAGTAAGGGAAACACATTTCCATTACTGGTGGAGCAAACTTGTATAGCTACTTTGTAAGTCACTGTGGCAGTTTCTCAGAAAACTGGTAATCAATCTACCACAAGACCCAGCTATTCCACTCTTGGGCATATACACAAAGAATGCTCAGTCATACCACAAAGACACATGATTATGTTCATAGAAGCTTCATTTATAATAGCCAGAACGTGGAAACAACCTGATGTCCCTCAACCAAGGAATGGACAAAGAAAATGTGAAACATTTACATAATGGAATATTACTCAGCTGTTAAAAACATTGACACCAAGGAATTTGCAAGCAAATGGATGAAACTAGAAAAAAAAATCATCCTGTGTGAGGTAACCCAAACTAAAAAAGAAAAACATGATATGTACTCATTCATAAGTGGATATTAGCTATAAACTAAAAGATAACTGTGCTACAATCCACAGAGAGACTAGGTAACAAGGAGGGTTCATGGGCAGGGGAGCCCCTAGGAAGGAAAAATAGAAGAGATTTTGTGAGTGGACTGCAGGCAGGTGGGAATGGAAACATGAGTGATCAGGATGGAGGGAGGCTGGAGGGGGAGAGTATTGAAAGAGACTACTGGAAAGGAGGGGGCATTTGGGGGTCAGATAAAAACTTGGTACAAGGGGAACTCCCAGGAATCTACAAGGATGACCCCAGATAATATTCCTAGCAATAGCAGATACATAGCCTCTCCTGTGACCAGGCAAGACTTCCAGTGGAGGGATTGAGAAACCAACCCAGCCATAATCTTCGACCTACAGTCTGTCGTGCTGATGGGATGTGCTGGGGTAAGGGTGGCCTAAAGATTGAGGGAGTGGTCAACGAATAGTCTAGCCTAAAGCCTATGCTAGGCTGGTAAGCCCACCCCTGACACTGTATGGAGCACCAGGACCCACAGGCTGGATGACCCAGAGACATAGGATAGAACCAAACATGAAGAGAAGAAAAAAAAAATGTCAGTGTAATGATGCCTAGTGACATTTTGTTTTAAACATAGATTGGTGCCTAGCCCAGGTGTCATGGGAGAGGTTTTATCCAGCACCGGGTGGAAACAGATTCAGACCCACAGCCAAATATTAGGTGGAGCTCAGGGAATCCTGCCGAAGAGGGGAGAAAGGATCATAGGAGCTAAGGGGTCAAGGACACCACAGGAAACTCACAGAACCAACTAATCTGGGCTCACAGGGGCTTACGGAGACTGAACGGCAACCAGGGAGCCTGAGTGGACTGTCGCAGGCATCTGCACATATATTACAGTAGTGTAGCTTGCTCCTCTTGTGGGACTCCTACCAGCAGGAGCAGGAGCTGACTCGGACTCTTTTACAGGCTTTTGGCACGCCACTCCTCATACTGAGTCACCTTGCCCAGTCTTAATATGGGGGGGGGGTGCTTAGTCATTTTTTAAGGTCTTTTACTATTTGATATTTAATATGAGAAACTATCATTTTTAAGACTTATTTATTTATATATGTATATGATTACTCTATCTAAATGTAAGCCTTCATATCAGAAGATGAGGGCATCAAATATAACTATGGATGGTTGTGAGCCACCGTGTGGGTGCTGGGAACTGAACCCAGGACCTCTGGAAGAGCAGCCAGTGATCTTAACTGCTGAGCCATCTCTCCAGCCCAAGGTGCTTAGTCTTACTGCAGCTTGATATGCCATGTTTTGTTGATAATCATGTGTAGCTGTAAGTTTTCCTGTGTCCCCCCTAGCCTGCGGTGGAGACAAATCTTTTCCACTCGCATCCCCCAAGTAAACACACAAAGGCTTATATTAATTAAAACATGTTCAGCTATTAGCTCGGGCTAATGACTGACTAGCTCTTACACTTAAAACTTAGACCATTTCTGTTAATCTATGTTGCCACGTGTTCCATGACTTTACCTGTGTACCATTACATGCTGCTCCCTGGACGGCAGGTAGGAGTCTCCTGACTCAGCCTTCCTCTTCTGAGAATTCTCCTTGTCTGCTTATCCCACCTATACTTCCTGCTTGGCTACTGGTCAATCAGTGTTTTATTAAACCAGTGTACAGAAGCATTATCCCACAACAAACATGGGAGATCTGCCCTTTCCTAAACAGAAATGGAGGAGTGGATTTGGGGGTGAGGACAGAGGGGTTGGGGTGGAGGACTGAGAGGAGAGGAGGGAGGGAAAACTATGGTTGGAATGTGAAACAAACAAACAAATAAATAAATAAATAGATAAATTTATTAAAAAGAAAGATCAATTGTTAAAATATTTATTTCAAATACAAAGGCTTATTTATAGCAAAGGTACCATCATTTAAGCAATGTGGCAACCTATAGACTGCGAATAAATCTTTACCAATTGTACATCTGAGAGAAGATTAGTATCTAGAATATATAAAGAATTTTTAAAACTGACCATCAAGAAAATAATTCAATTAAAAATGAGTTAGAGAACTAAACAGAGAGTTCTCAAAAGATGAAATACAAATGGCTGAGACAGATTTTTTAAATGTTCAACATTTTTAGCTATAATGGAAATGCAAATTAAAACTCCATTGTTATCTCATCTTCTCTCAGTCACAATGGCCAGAATCAATCAAACTAGTGACAGAACACACTGAGAAGTATGCAAGCATAGGGTAGCACTTAGTCATTGCTGTGGGAATGCAAAATTGTACAGGCACTATAGGAATCAGTGTAGAGGTTCTTCAAAATACTGTAAATAAATCCACCACTAGATCCTGCTGTACCACTCTTGGTCATATATTCAATGGACTGTGCATCCTCCTACAAAGACACTTGTTCATCCATACTCATTGCTGTTCTCTACATAATAGCCAGAAATTGCAAAGAGCCTAAATTTCCAATGACTGAAGGATAGATAATAAAAATGTTGTACATTTATACTATGGAATATTATTCACCTACTAAGAAAATTTAAATTATGAAATTTGAAGGTAAATACATAGAGCTAAAAACAGTCATTGTGACTGAGGTAACCAAGAAGACACTGAAAGCCAAATATTGAATGTTTCCCTTACCTGTGGATGTGGCTTTTAAGCTTTAGACATGTGTGTTTCCATCTAAATAACCAGAGTTTAGATAGCAACTAAGGATCCAAACAAAATCTCAGCATCGAGAAGGGCAAGTAAACACAAAGTTCCATGCTAACCAACAAACTATTGCAATTAATATGTGCTGGGAAAGGGGAAAAAAACAGTTTTCTCCTATGTGATGTCACTGGGTATATCAATTGCACTCCAGGGTAGGGCCTTGACAAAGGAGTCCTTGGCCTACACAAAACAGAATTCATGCTATGTTTCATTTGGTTTTGTTTATGTGGCGGGGAGAGGGGAGGTCAACTTTTTGTTTCTTTTTTTGTTTGTTTTGCATTTTCTTTAGTCTTATTGTCTCTTTGATACGATTTTTGTTGGTTTGTTTTTACTTTGTTTTGTTTGATTTTTGTTGAGAAAGACAAAGACCGTGAAATTGGGTAAGTGGGGAAGGGAAGGATATGGGAAGTTAGAAGAAAGGAAATAATTTGATCAAAATATAGTGTATGAATTTCTTTTCTTTTTCTTTATTCTTCTCTCATACAACACATCCTGACTGAAGTCTCCACTCCCTCCATTCCTCCCAGGCTCCCCTCCCCTCTTCCCCTTCAGAAAAGAGCAGTCCTCCCGGGTATATCAACTAAACACGGAATAACAAGATGCTATAAGACAAGGCACAAACCCTCATATCAAGGCTGGACATGGCAACCCACTAGAGAAAAAGGATACCAAGAGCCAACTCCCACTGTTAGGAGTCCCAGAAGAGCCCCAAGCCAAATAATCACAACATACATATGTAGAAGACTTAGGGCAGACCCATACAGGCTCCATGATTGCCGGGTCAGTCTCTGTGAGCCCCTAAGATCACTGCTTAGATGATTCTGTGGCTGTGTTTTCCTGGTGTCCTCAATCCCACTGGCTCCTACTAAAAACCTTTCTTATTATTTTAAGATGAATTTTTAATGATTTCTCTTAGTCTGAGTTTTGAATAACTGATAAAACTCTGTTTTCCATTTTCTGTAATATATATATATTATATACCCTTTTGGTTAACTAAGAGCTAATCCATTTTAGTTTTACATTTAAAAACTTTATATGTAAATTGTGATCTTGTAGTAAAGAGTTGAGTATTGTTTGAAATCATGTATATTTTCTCTCTATAGTTCCATAATATTATTAAATTCATTAAGTGTTAAATTTGTGTCATTTTATTGAACTGGCTTCTCTTCCCTGCCTTGGAAAATGATTATGGCATTTTAATAACCTTTCAAACCTAAATATCCTTTGAGGAAAGTACTATTGTTCTTATTCCAATCATATAGCAAATAGAAGAAAAAGAAAAAAGAATTGTGTAATTAATCAGTGTGTCTAGCTTGTTATATTTGGTTAAATCGTTTTGATCCTGTAAATTGTATGTGATTTTTTTTCCAGGAAATTAGTAAACATTAGAATAGGTTCAAAACAATAATTTTGTTGTTTGTTCATATATTTTGTATCCCATTAGAATTCCTTGAACAGAAATAATTCAAAGAATTGTAAACATTTCCACCATTTTCATATTTCCTACTTCAAGAATATTGATACTGTATTTTCTATCATTATCTAGATATTATTATAGATATTTAGATTGCAAAGATCTATTTTCATATTGTGATCACTTCAGTATTTCCAGGTATGAACATACCACATTGCAATTTTTGGAAGTAGTGAGTTGCTATACCCAACAAACACCTACAGTTTTCCCTTATTATCCATCATGAATTCAGTCAATAATCAATAGATATCTAACAAGCCCTAGACATGTTCCAGACATTCATTTGATATTGCAATGTTTTCTTTTACTTCCTAACTAGGGACATATGAAATGTTTAACTAGTGCTACAGAGGCACAGACAAGAAATGTTGAGAGAACCAAGGAGAAATGTGTGACATTGACACAAGATAAAGAAATGTCAGGAATGGATTCATATGAGAAATGTGTACAGAAACTTTTTACTATACAAAAGTACATAGGTAATGGAGGCATAAAAAATAAGGGGTGGATGTTCTAGTTTGATGTACAGTACACAAAACCGAAAGATATCTGATTTAGATCATGAATGTGATTCTCTACATTTCACTCACAGAACGTGAAGGAGCAAGGATAATAGAGGTTTGCATAAAATGTATCCTGGGTAGAAGTTTATCTACTTTTAAACTGTATGAATATAACTACATTTAGCATGACTTATATTTCAAAATGTATTGGAAATAAAACATATCTATATCTATTTGTCTGTCTGTCTATCTATCTACCTATCTACATACATACACACTTCTAACTGATCAAAATATTTGAGCTGCTGCATAATATAGGATACAATAATAAAGTATGCATGCTTATTTTATTTATAGTCTCTGTTAAAAACATGTTTAACATATTTGTCAAAGGAATGTCAACACATTTCCAATGAATTCACAATATTTTATCCTAAAACTATTGTTCTAAGAAATTCATAACCTTCTGAGTTCAGTCCTGATGATCAAAACTACATTCCAGCCTTCATGCTGAAGCAAGTGAGGCTTTCAGCAATTTAAGGTTCAGCTGGAAATCCAGGAACAAATTCTGCCATCAGCTATTTGAACTACTGCAGTTCATTAACAATTTTATACTAATAAAAACAAATGTTTTTTTTTTCTATCTCAGGTTAATCACAGGGCCACAGTCAGAGAGTGACTTATGATACTTACTTTCAGTTCATTGTTGGTAAGAGTAAAGGTTTTATTTGAAAAGGTGTCTTTAATCAAATGATAAGTTATATTGTTGTTGGGAATAGTTCCATCCCGATCTGTACAACTTAGGGACACTAAAGGGGTGTCAACTGGGATGTTCTCAGGAAGTTCAATTCTGCAATGAGAAAAAAAGTGTTATGTATTGAACTTGATTTAGGCAGATGATTACAGTTAATAGATTAGATCATTTGAAATGTTGTGTTCATAATTTAAATAGCCCTTTGACAATAAGTATTTTATAGTATCCATGAAAGATTGCCTAAGACATGACTTAGCATCCATGAGGAGACCAAGGGAAATGGATGGCATTGCTCTTATGCTAGATTTCTGGACAGCAAATTCAACAAGTCAAATATTACTGAACAAATGATAATTTGTCCCTCCTCAGGTTGGTAACTTTATATTTGCAGATCATATAGTTCTACCTGATCTCATGAAATGGCCATGCTTTTTCCTTTAAACTTGTACTATATCATTCTCCCAACCTTAAAAATAAAGAAACTGAGAACTATTGACTACTTAGATTTACTTAGGAGAGAGCTAGGACTGTTGATTTTGTATTAAATACTTTCCTATTTACTATGACGAAAAATACTTGATAAGAAGCAACTTAAGAGAGAGGGTTTATTTTGGCTTTGGATTAAATTCATGGGAATCTAGCCCATTATGACATAGAAGTCATGGGAACAGGAGTGTGATGCATCTGGTCCTATTTCATCTGGAGTGAGTCAGAGAGAGCCATGAGTGCTAGTGCCCAGCACATCTTCTCTTTTCTCTTCAGTCCAAAACCCCACTCTTTTACATTTTTTTAGAGGTAGAGTGAACAGATATGTCCATGTCAGTTATCCTATGGTAGAAATTCCTTGTCAGACATGCCCAGGGACTGTATCCAAGGTGATTCTAGATCCGGTAAAGCTGACAGTCAATATTAACTATTCCACTTACCAATTTTTGCATTTTCCTCTATATATCCCAGTTTCCCCACAGCCTCTGCATGTGGCTTGTAGGGGGTGTATTGGCAAATGAAATGGAAATTGATAGGTTAAATTACAGTTCCTAGTAAAATGATTAAGATGACTAGAATGTGAAATGTCATGTACATGTTTAGCTCTCTTCTCTCCTTGTGGTTAGAAGCAGAACATTAACAAGATGCCAGACACCTAAATATGCAGGAATCCCTGCATCAATGCATGGATCAGAATAGAGTCAACAGATTTTTACAGTACTTTTCATCAATGCAAAGAAAAGCTCAATGGGTTAAAGTTACATTGTTGATGGTAATTCAGTGGTAAGTTGTCTGGCTAATGCAAACAGCTACAATGATGTTTCCCATGAGTTTTGGGAGGATGTTTCTAACTTAACATTAGATTACATTTTAGCATGAAACTCAAACTTGAGCTGAATGTGGATGACACCAGTAGACATGCCAAAGTTGATGAGGAGAAAGCCCCAACCCTACATAAAGAACTACAGGCAACTAAGGAACATGAAGAATGGGAGAAATAGTCTACCATAGGTAAGAGCACACCAATTAATTATGCTGGGTGGTCATCCACAAAAAACATAGATACACATAACCTGATACAGACCAAGCATATTGTACTTAGGAATATATATGTATGTATATATGTATGTATGTATGTATATATATATGTGTGTGTGTGTATACATATATATATATATATGCATATGATAACAATAAAAAGTAAGGCCATGAATTTAAAAAGGAGCAAGTAAGGGTGTATTGGAGGGAGGAAATGGAAGGGGGAAATATAGTAAGTACAATCCCTCAAATCAAAGAAAAGTAAAATAATCACTTTAGCATGAAAAATAATGAAATGAAAGATAAATTTTCTAATTTGCTAAGATAAAGAATATTCTAGAAAGTTGTGCTTTCATCGGGTTGAACACATCTGCTTTGGTAAACATTTATCATTTATTCAGGGTGAAGACTTTTAAGTTGCATTCTTTTAAGTTGTGGCAAGACACACTGCATCATGGTTATCTAGAGTCACTCGACTGTGCGTTAACTGTGCATTAGCACTTGGACTCTTTGTTTCTGTCATGCCACACTCCCAGGCCTCCAGCAACAATCAGTTATTCACATCTGTCAGATCACAAGCATTGGTTTCTAAAACTCAACAGAGTAGACCTATTTGTTTTATGTGGAGGCTGGCACTGTGTCCCTTAAGTGATCAAGGCATGCCAGTATTATTTATACAGAAGGTGTTCTTTTAAGGCAGCGACAAATTATTCAAGAGAAGACTACCCTAATCCCATTGCAAGGTGTGAAAATGTTGTCTGTGCAATCAGACTGAAAATTTCCAGTAATCGGGAGTGTTCATTTTCCAGCCTGCAAGACCATTTGCACTTCACTGTAAGTAACTGGCATGATTCTCCTGTACTTGATGTTTGGATGCTGTGAATAGGATTTTGAACTTTCACTTGGGTTTTCTGCATATAGATGGAACATTCCTTGTCTGGAATTATGTTGGCTTTCTAAACATTCTAGATTTGGGGAAATTTCAATATTGATTTTTACCTTTTGTGACAAAGCAAGTCAACTTGTCCTGGGCAGTTGAAAGCAGAAGCTGTGCTGTGTAAGGATAAAGTAAGAGATGAAGGGAAAGGTCCCTGCCTGCTCAAGGATAACTGATGCCCACTCATTCATAGGTGCTGCTTTCTCTATAAAAATATCTGAAGAGCCAACAATCGCTGACATAACTTACACATAAATTTCCTGGGAGCATTGCGGAGGGTTGTCATTGACGTCATGTAGAATCACTGTGAGTGTCCCCGTTGTTGAATGTGTTCGCTCATTGTCATAAACTCTAACGTATAATACCCAAGATTTTGGGGTTGTTTCATCTTCATAGTCTAAAGGATAGGCAACAGAGACATCTCCCAAGTCTAAAAGGCAAGCAGATTAAGAAGTGTTTGCATCCACAAGATAAAGAAGATGTGCATTTAAATCATGATATGAATAGAGTACTCCTAGGGATAAAATAAAGGTCAGCTGCTGACCTAATGAAGTCATCAACAAGTCACAATTGTGACATATGAGAAATATGGGTTAAATGTGTGACAGAAGCCAGAAGCCGCCTGTATTACAGAGGTCCTCTCACGGGAAAGTCATGGCAGCTGTAGTGGGAAATGCACAGGGAAGCTTAAGCTGAGTGTGGGATGGTGAACACGGGGCAGGCAGGGGGAAACCTGGGATTCTGAAGAAGTGTGGTTTTGGGATAGCATGCAGCAAAAAACAACAAAAGGAAAAAGAATATTTCAAGTGGGAATTAACTTTCTAAGTATTTGTATTACGTCTGCACTTGCAGAGCATGCAAGCTTTAAAGGTATACACTGCTTTACAAACTATAGGTATGTAAATAACTGATGTATTTCATTATTATGCTGGTAAATCTCCAGCAGGATTGCTTCTCTATCCCTTACATCTCTCGCGCGTCTTTTCTCCTTCTCTGTGGAGTTATTATTTTCCCAGATGTAAACTTTGTTAAAAATGTATTTGTTTGTTTGTAATTATGTGAAGTTGTAGGGAAGGAGGTAGGGATGAAGTGCATATAAGGACAAGTGTCCAAGTAGGCCAGAAGAGGACATGAGTCCCCTGGAGCTGGAGTTATAGATGGCTGTTAGCCAGCCAGTATGGCCGCTGGAGCGAAACTTGGATGCTCTGTAAGACCAGAAAATACTCTGAACTACTTTGTCATCTCTCCAGATACCACATATAAACTTTTGAATTCACATTTCTGTTTTCAATTTTCCTAAATATGTTACATTTTGATCTTACATAATAGGTGCTGGAGGAAAATCTGTTTATAATCTAATTAATACTCCCACAGTAAATACGATGTTCTACCAAGACCAACATAACTATATTTAAAAAAAAATTAACTTGTAATAGTTTACTAAAACGTCTGCACTGACTAAAACTGGAACCTTACCTTTAGAAAAGGCCTAACTTCTTATGTTTTATTGTAGGCCTATTTTCTTGAAGGAAATTTGAATATTAGTCATATTTGTGTTTCTTGTTGACTTCTTCAGGAATTTTGAGGTATTATCCAAGTACCTTCTCTGCATTTCTTTGATAGCCATTATTCCTCTCCTTCATGATTGTTGTTATGGTGACTGTTTTTTTTTTTTTTTTAAATAACCAGAAGTTTGTGGGAATGCTCTTTTTCTAACAGCAAGAGATTAAGTATATGACCTCATTATTTCCTTTCACTAGAATTTGCGTTTTCCAAACCGAGATAATTCTCTAACACAGCTACAAAATAAGTCCTGAAGTGAACATCCCGATACCAAAAGTCTTTTTCAAATTGCACTGATTGGCTCCACGTTTTCATAAAAAAGACAGTTTAGAAGCACTCTTTGTCATGTCTCTTTAGTCTCCCTGGATTAAAAAAAAATCATTTATCCCTTGAGTTTCCTAAATACATGTATTAAAAACTTAGGTTCATTCTGACACTATCACTTTTAGTTCGTTGCTGTATGTTTCATCCAGATTTCCCACTTTCCACTTTTATGAGGCATATCTCAGGCAGAAGAGGCAGCCTTTGCACATCCTCCCTCTCTTTGCATAAGCTCTGCCCTGCCATGCTTGCGTCTCTTCTACAGGCCACCTGCCTTCTTATCTGTCCTACATTCTGTGCATGGTAATCTTTGCATTGAGATGATGGGAATGCTTGTTTAATCATACTCTATTCATGTGTTAATGGGTATGTTCCCTCCTAAAACAAGGAGGAATATTTCTTTCCTACATGTTCTAACTTTATGCCTAAATTGTCAGGGACACAGCCTCTTAACCTCTGAGCAGCTGAGATGCACTTAAAGCCAGAAGTGTGCTTCTCAAACAGGCTGAACTCAAGTTTATCCATGTCACAGAAATTCACTGAGTGTGTTTAGGCCCAGGAATTCAGTAGCTCAGGGATAGAGCAGCACTTACTTAGTACTTATAAGGCCCTTCCTCTGATACCCTCCATGGTGGTAAGAGAAGGAAACAAAACTCCTCCCCAGTACTACATTTCAGATGGAGACTGGTTCAGTAATAATTCAAACTGGCTTTTATGTATGTAATGTACTTACAAGAATGTTTGACATAAAATGAATATTCTGTTTATGATAACTAATGTTCTGGTTTCCATGGGAAAATTGATTTCTCAGAAAAAGGTAATAAAATAAGTTTCCAGTGCAAACTTACATATGTGAATTGTTGAAAAGTCTGCCAGAGCAGACGAACACAGAGCCCTCCATACTTCTAACAAGGAAGGAAGGATTAGTAGTTCCTTCATAAAAGTATGCTAAGTGCTCTCTTACATATTTTAATTATCATTCTATTCAGATATAATGACTTCAGAGCTTAGTTTAATGAATAAAATACTTTACAGTATGCTTTCTGAAATGGTTGACCAAAAAAATTATTATACCTTCATTTATAACAAACACTTTTTGTGTACCTATAAATTCATAATGTATGGCATCTTCTATATCTCTATCTGTTGCTGTGAACTTGGCCAACTTTGTTCCAACAGGCAGATTTTCATTAATATTTATAGGTGCATCTGGTTTGTATCTATAGGACAAAGGAGAAGTTTTTAGTACTCGGTGTAAACAAATGTCTCTTTCCATCTAAGTCACATAGAAAATATTTAAAATTTCATATGGTACATCTTTTGTGACAATTTATATCCTCTGAGTTCAAATAGCTTGAAAATTGCTGTATATACATTAGCTGTTATTGATGTATTTAATAGTGAACTTAATATTTTATCCATTCTCTTCCTTTAGGCTTTCACCTGATTGAGAAATTATAAACTATAACAGATAAGAAAATACTATAAACACTTTAGAAATAATTTTTCTTTATATACATATTTGGACAGATATCCATGTCAGAACTATTTACTGCCCCAGCTCTCCTAAGTGGCTGCACTGATCTCACAGTACGAATACATCAACGTTCATTTCTATACTACTTTTCTTATTAATCATAAATAGCAAAAACGTGGAATTCTGAATTCTATTTCATTAAGAAATGATCATTTTCTGTAGTTTCAATAGAAAAATATAAGTGGAGTGATTTTGTTTAGTGCACGTGAGAAAAGCAAAGCCCAATGCTATCAAGCTCATAGAAGTTTGCTTTCTAGATATTGTAAGAAATTTTGCAATGTAAAAAATAATAAAACAGTGATATTTATCCTGCAATAAAAACGTTCCAATGGTTAAATCAAGCATTTAAATATTTAGATTAAGCAATGCTTACATCAGAACAGGAATTTCATCATTAACATTTTGGATGTTTATAGTGATGGTGCCCACACATGACTCCAGAGACAGGCTGTCCCTATTTCTCACAGCGATTACTAACTGGAAAAACTAAGAGCAAAAGACAGAATGTTTTAGTTTTTTCACTTTGAATGCAGAGCACATACAATTTCCTTTTACGTTAAAAATAATGTTTTAAAAGTTAAATGGAAAAAAAGACCAGAAACAAAACTTTTACCATTCCTAATTATCTTAACATTTGTTGAAAGTATTATCTCCTATTTTTATATATGTATTTCTTCAATAAATGCTACCTTCCAATTGTCATAGATTTTAGGTTGCAATTTTAAACATCACTTTATTACATTGTAGAAAACATATCCGAGTTAAATTTATTGAAGTACTAAAATAAAATGGTAAATTAAATCTCATTGTTTAGAGAAAAATAATTTTTTATCAATTTCAAATATGTAAGATTTCTTTAAAATGTGATTTCTAGCCAACCAAACAATTGGGAAATAAAGTCTTACAAGATAATAATAAGTCTGATAAAGTCTGTTTTTAGTTTTTATTTATTAAAATTAATTATGTAATCAAGCAGATTAAATATATGTGCAAAAGTATTATCAAAATACACTAAATCCAATGAGAACATCCCTTATTGAAACTTCTAATTTAGGAATATTTCACATGAGCAAGCAGAAATTGGAGCTCATCCTATTAAATGCTCATCTGACTATTTCCCTTTTCTCTTTTGTAGCATTGTCTTTTATCTCCCCTTCCGTCAAAGACTGAATGGACTGAGGGATGGAGCGCAGAGTATAGGAGAGAACGTGAGGAAAGATAACCAGAACTAGGGGGCTTCTGAAACACTCTTAGGGAAGCCCCTATAGACTCTTCTACTGAGTGTGTTGGTACAAGTCTTTAATTCAATCACTAGAGAGGCAGAGGCAGGCAGATACCTTTGAGTTCCAGGCCAGCCTGGTCTACATAGTGGGTGCTAGGAGATCCAGGAATACATAGAGAGACTGTATATCAAAAGAACAGCAAAAAAGAAGTTTTGTAAAATAAATCCATATATAAAAATAGTTTAAGTACCTTAACTAGACAGCATATGCTAAAAATAAAAATAAATAAATAAAAAAACACCTCAGTATCAGGAATGGGTTACCTCTTTCTGAGTCAAGTAGGGTCCCATAGGTTTTCAAACATTATGGAATATTGTCAATTCAATTGTTTACCTGACAGAATTTAATACAGAACCCTATTGCTTAAGACATCACATACTTGAGTTATAAAACCTGTGTACATCAAGCAGGCACTGGTGTAGAACTGTTACCCTTACTGGCTGTTTTCATAGTGTTACAAGATGCTCTGAGGGGAAAAGTAATCACCACTCTCCCCAGTTGTGAAGCCTGTGAGCTACAGTAATGAAGTACATGCTTTTGTGTGCATGTGTGAGTGTGTATGCATGCATGCCCCCCCCTCTGTGTGTGTGTGTGTGTGCGCGTGCGCATGTGTGTGTGTGTGTGAGAGAGAGAGAGAGAGAGAGAGAGAGAGAGAGAGAGAGAGAGAGAGAGAGAGAGAGAGAGAGCATGTGTGTGTATGCACACGCGGGCATGAGTCTCTGTGTGTGATTACAGAAGAAGGATTCATGAATTTGAGAGTGAACAGGTGAATAGGACATGGGAGAAGCTAGAGGAGAGAGGTGTAGGGATAGAGAAATGATGTAAATACATATTCACATACAAAAGTCTCAAAAATAAAAATAAATTAAAAATATAATAAAGTGTTTCTGTGATAAAGAAACCTATTGTTTCTTTATATTTCACATAGTAAGAAAGCATTTACTATGATAGACATCATATCCTAATGGGAAAGATGGTTATACAAAACAAAGAAAGATGAAATTTTATCAAGTGGTGGTTTGATTGTTAGATTACATATGGATACAGAGTAAAATAATGGAGAGGGGCAGGAGGGCAGGGGTTAAAGGCAGGGAAGAAGTCATGGTTACATCAAACATTCGGTCTGAGAAGCTGCCAAAGGTTCCTTTCAAGGCATGACTCATCAACATTGCCCAAGTAGATGTTGTAAATGACTATCCCTCCTAAAGATTAACTCCTAAAGATTATTTTAAGAAATAGACAAATGAGTATAGAAATCACCATGAACTTTGGCTTACCAACCATAACAAAAATAATTAGGCTTAAAATATGGAAATAAATTAAAACATTAGTAAATTTAATTTGGCAAGCTATATTGCAAATTGTCTCATATAGGGTTGGTTATCACTTGGAAAACAAAGATGGCATAATAACAGGAAAATTAAGTAACACAGACTATTAATAAATTAATAAATTAAGGAAAAGGAAAGCCATATAATTATCTGAACAGATGGAGGGGAAAATATCTATGTCAAATCAAATTCCAGTTAAAAAATCTTGGCAAACTGATCAGAACAGATATTATACTTGATCTTAACCAAAAGGCTAAGAAATTCACCCATAATGCCTCAGCAATCTGGCTGCCTAAACAAGACCTGAATAATGACACCACCAGTACACATGCTAACATGAAAGGGAAAATGTCACAGGGCCCTCCTCGTAGACCAGTGGTCCTCAGCATTCCTAATGCTACAGCCCTTTAATACAGTTCCTCGTGTTGTGTTGACCCCCACACATATAATTATTCTCATTGCTACTTCATAACTGCAATTTCACTAGAGGGCCTTAAGGATGGTAGAGAAAAACAGCAGCCATAGAAAGAAAGGAGAAGGAAAGACAAACGTCACTAGGGCAGACAAGCAACTCTCGTCCCTCTAGCTGCACCTGTCCCCTTCACTTTCCTGGTGTCCACAGCTTTCCCATTCTTCTGTCACTTTCACTTCCTGTCCATTGGTCTTCTGTCTTTGTCCATCCTACGGAGTGCACTAGATGGTACCGCTAGATGACCACACCTCAGCCCAAGACCCCATAAAATGCATCAAATGTGCTTCTCAATATGTTTTTAAATGGATTTCTATTGAGCTAGATGACGTGGATGGCTTTTTATGCTTTGTTTCATTTTAAGTAAATTTCAAACATTTTGATTAAAGGGTAAATAAAGGCATTTGTTATTTTAAAATACTGGTTGCTCTCACCTTAGGATCTGTTTCATAATCCAAAAGAGGTTCCAAGGTTTTAGAAATGACACCACTATGTGAATCCAAAGCAAAGTAAGCAGTGGTGTTGGTTGAAGAATTTAATATCAAAAACTAGGAACAAAAACCACAAACATGGCTGACATATTATTGTAAGAGCATGAATTTTGAACTGACATTTTTTGATGCTATTATTTGGCAAAAACTACACTCAGCTTCATTTGTGAAGACGGTGCCTATAAATAAAATCTGAAATTGCTTTTGTATCCAGACTTCAAAAACAATGCAAACATTCCTTCACGTTTTCAGCTGTACTTTTTCCATATTTTGATTTGTACTTCAGAACTAGGGCATTTTTGGTAAGTAGCTGTCATTGGTTTCACAATTAGTTTACTTTCTAGTGTTACATTCACAGCTTTTTTTAATATAAAACTTCATTCCCTTTTGTACACTGAAGAAGTGTATCTAAAGAAGGTACACAAAACAGCATTTGGTCTCATCCCAGTATTGACTTTAGGCATGAAAAAAAAAGAAATAATACTTTAAACAAATAAACTGTTTTCATGAGTAAGGACATAGTATTCTCCACTGTTATTATAATACTTGCAATAGGGTAATGGGGTCCAGACTTTGGAAAAATACTACAGGATGCAAAAAAATTTATTAAGAGACTAAACTATACAAAGACAAAAAATTTACATCCTGATTTTGGTTCAAAAAAACAACAAAACCTGGGTGGTGCAATGATTAATGTGTCAAAAGAGACAAGACAGCCATATTGATGGACCCATTGAGTTACTTTGTTGATGGACACATGGAGGTACTGTCCTTGACTGTTTTTGAACAAATAAAGTTGGCTTGCTATAGATTAGAACCCACTAAACATTTTTATGGGTAAAAATTATTTATTTCTTCTATTATTATGATGATTTGGGGTTTGCTAAAAATAATTATGTACAAAATCTTTGGTTTTTCTTATTTTAATGACTCATAACACAAATATTACAATAACTTCATTTACAGAAAATAATACATGTTTATATATACACACATATATTAATACATACATAAATGGATATCCCACAGCTTCAAGCACACAAGACTATGTTCTTACATTCTTCCCTCCACCAACACAATATACTCTCACAAATGGGACTTGTGAGTCCAACAAGAAGGAATTATATTTTCCTGTGTGGTTTTCTTAGTCTAAATCTTGATAAAGAAAAAATGAGTAACTCTGAGAATACTAACCGATGCTTCATAATCAAATCAGAATTCAAAAAACTCCATAAAGTCTCCCAAGAGCTACCCTCTCAAGCTTTAGCTTTAGTCACATGCCCAAGTTTATTAGTTGTTAGCAGCATAAGCACATAGAAAACTCTTGCCCATCCTATCAAGACATTGACTAAACCATTAAAATTAGAAAAGAATATTCCAATCTATTAATATGATTTATTACACTATCAAGAAACTAAATTTGCTTTTTAGAAACATAATTATGCTATGGTTATATTACACTATAAAATTTTTGAGAAAATACAATGATAAATTTCTTCCCCAACTAAGTCGTAACTATTTCATCATCTATTATTCATTAATTCTTATTTGCAAATTATTGCTGAAACCAAAATAGTATGAAGATCTAAAATATCATTTATGGAATTCTGAGTCTAATAAAGAAAATATAAATGAAAGGAAATAAACCAGAAAACATTCTAGAGTGAATCAGCATCATCAATGGTAATAACAGTATACTCTTCACTTACAGTCTTTTCAGATCCTTTTAGTTCTATGACTTCCATTTTCTGTCTTATCATTTTCATTTTGCTACTGTATTCAAAAGCTTAAAGTCACTCTCTCACTTCAGTAAACATCATAAGATACAAAGCCTAGTTTAATGCAAGCCTAAGGAAACAATTTTTGTTCACTGAAAGTTAAGCAATGCATTCTGGTTTTATTTTTGGGAAAAACATAAATGGCAATTAAAAACTTACTTCAACTTCTTGTCCCAGATCTGGATCTCTTGAAAGAATTGCATATATAAAAGCAGAGGGGGGGATATTTTCATCAACAGACACTGAAACACCTATACAATCACACAAGTAATCAACAATAATTAAATGGCACATGTGTCTGTCCTGCCTTGCTTCACGTGACTGATGTAAGTCATCAGGCTGTGTAAAAAGTCTATATTGAGTAATTCCTTAAGGATACTTTCTCTAGAAAACACTACAAATGTTTATTCATATGAACATCAATATTGATCTTTTTCTTCAACCTTATTTATGTCTTGGGGGTGGGGGTGTATGTGTGTTTACTGGTACTGGTACAATTGCCCACGCAGACACATGTGAAAGCAGGAGGTTGAGGTTTGTGTGTTATTCAGTCATAGTTTTTCCTTATTTTTTGAGACAAGTATCCTCACTTAACTGGAGCTCTCACTTTCAGTTGTACTCTCTGGCCTGTAAGCTGCTGGGATTTAATTTTATCTTACCAATAATGGGTTCATTGATGGGCATTATTACACCCAACTTTTATATGCTAGAGAAATAAGCTCAGGTCTTCATGCTTGCAAGACCCAGCACTTAAGCACGGAGCCACCTTCCCCACCATATTTTACATAGAAGGACATGAAACCTCACTAAGCTTTCTAGTCTGGTCTCCATTGCATGAGTTGAGGCAATCCTCCTGCCTCAACTTCATGAGTACCTTGAATCTAACATGAGAACACCCAGCCCAGATAACTGCTTTTAAATTTTGATATTTAAAAGAGTCAACATAATTCAGGTTTTTGTTTTTAAATTTAAATATTTGGTTGATGTGAGGAATGAGATATAACTGCTCAAGTGTCTGAAACATTAATGTTTATAAGAATACTTCCACTTCCACTCACATATGCTAGAATATTGAAGTTTTTTCCCAGTAAAGCATAAAAATAGTTGCAGTGAAGTAAAGAAAAATATGTTTTAATTTATGCTGCATTTTTATGTGTACAACAGAGATAAAGTACATTTTCAACCTTAGTGTGGTTCTGATAATTAAGTATAATATGTACATGTCTCACACATCTCAACAAATGCTGTTGTCTTCACTGCTCTTTATCTTGTTTCTGATGTAATCAAGTGTGATTGGGTCTCATCCCTAAATAAAATAAGAAAGATGCACACACGAGTATGTAAACCATTGGTAGTTTCTTCATATGATGAAAAACTGACCCATATTTAAAAGTGTGATACATACATGCATGCATGCATACACATAGTCACACCATATGCATAAACATGAACAGAAGGGACAAAAAGGAAACACACGGTGAGAAAAGAATGCAGAAACGAGTGAGAAGATATAATTGCTGACATCCAATTGATCAGTCAGAATGAAATGAATTAGTCTATGTTGCTGAGGGCTACTTATTGCAAGGCCTTAATACATTCAAATATTTTGTAGAATCCTCTACTTGAGAATTTGCTTACTGTGCACATCAGTTTAACACCAAGTCTGGTGGATTTTTGAAAGATATATTTCATGTTTATATGGAAGTACCTGAATATAGGTGTATGTGCCACATGTTTGCCTGGACCTGAGAATGCCAGAAAGAGAGCCAGATGCTCTGAAACAGAAGTTGAAGGTGGTTTTGAGCCACCATATGGGTTCTAGAAACCAAAATGCAACAGCAGCAGGTGCTCTTAACCACTGAGCAATCTCTCTGGTTCTGTGACTATTATTTATAATCTATTTTAGTAGTCCCACAGAATCCTCATGTTTTTTGATATTTCTAGGGATATTAACAGAACATCTTTTGGATAAATTAGGACCAGTTCATTTTGAACCTTTGCTCTACACTGGATGTATGTGAACAGATGTTCTGATTTAGTGATTCACTCTGGGGAACTGTCACCTCTACGAAACTAGAAGCAGTAAGTGAATTGACTATACAGTATGTCAAATCCACAGCAGGAAAATTGTATTAATGTCTTTTTGGGTAAATTCACAGAATTTTACCCTTTATTTAATTCAAAGTGAGTTCTTCATGCTTTGCCTCAGTTGCAAGGATACCAGTGATCTGATGGGACAAAGTCTTCCAGATCTTAAGCGTGCCTTAGCAGTTCAGCCAAGTCTATGGTGGAAATCAGGTCATAATGACCTTGAGATTCATGTGCATCTTTTAAGAATTTACTATAATGTGGAAACACTAAAATGAAATTACCAAGAACATCAAATCGTTTCATAGTCATCCAAAAGATAATATCTTCATGAACACTAAACTAGAAAGCCAGTCTACACCAGGATCCATCTAAGATTTGCTTTGTGTTTTAACTATATTTTTTAAAAATTGAGATTATACTCTAATAACATCATTTTCCTTCTTCTTTTTTCCCCCTTCCAACTACTTCCATATATCTCTACCCCCTTGCTCTCTATCAATTTTATGGCCTCTTTTTTATTGATTGTGTGTGTGTGTGTGTGAGTGTGTGTGTGTGTGTTGCTAAATACATAAATACAAATTCACAGTCTATGTAATGTTACCTGTACATATATGTTTTCGGTGATGACCACATAGTATGGGCTAACCAATTTGTGTGCTTTCTCCTCAGGAAAGATTATCTCTCCTGCCCTCAGTATTTCTTAGGTGTCATGCACTCTTTGTCTAAGTTTGAGTGTGCCTATTGCCTAGGCTGACAGGCCAAGCTACTCCAGAGATCCACCTATCTCTGACTCACCAGCAATAACATTACAAACACAAGCACCAGCTGGTTTTTTGTTTGTTCATTGTTTTTCATGGGTTCTGGGGGCTTTAACACATGTCCTCATTCTTGCAAAACTCACAGTTTGCCCTATAACCCCAGACATATAAGTCATATCTTATTGTTTAGATATTTATGAGTGTGACAACTTGTGAGGGACATACTAACCCATATGTTACAAATTCATTTGGAATACTATTTCCATTACTATTCTCATTTGTGTACCATAAAAACTAATAACCATAATTGGAATTCAAACTACACAGATACTGTTTTATTTTTATTTTTTTACCTTTTAGACTAACTCTACATTTTTTCAGCTTTTTATTTCTTTTGAAACCATATTCCCTTTCCTCTTTTCAAACCCTGCTGTGTGCCTATCCTTGCTTACTTTTAAGTTCACAGCTTCTTTTTCCAATGATTCCTGTTAATAACGTTTTTCAAGCTTAGTAGCATACAGTGAGAGAGTGATGCATTCACACACAGGGAAAATGGCCTGGTAACACACACAGGGAGAATGACCTGGTAACACAC